AAAAATACGTCATTAAAATTACAAATAGAACATACATGGACATTTCAGAACACAAAAATTAATAATTATAACCATTTAAAAGTGTGTTATTATAAAATATTAAACACTAGATTTTTAACCAATGTGTGAGATGATCAAAATTTTAAAATTCAAAATTGTTCAAGATTAAATATCAACAAAAAAGTCGTTTGCCCCGCATATAGGGTTCTCTCCAGTAAGTATGATTTCAGAGCTTTACGAAATGCGGAAAAGAATGAAAGCGACTTGATATCCAAAAGCAGATCATTGTACAGGGTGTCCCACTAAGAATAGCTCTCGGCTGTATCTCGGAAAGTATTAGCCGTAGCGACTATGGAAAAAAATGTTTATAACTAAAGAGGCTATGGGAAATTGCTGGAAATTATTTTCAAGTTTGTAGAACGACCGCTAGGGGGCGCAACTGCAACAAAAACTAAGAAAATTGAGTTTTTACACAATTTTGCCTGGATAAGATGTACTATAAGTAACAGCTTCATAATCTTTCAGTAAATTTTTGAATATTTTTTGTTAGAGTTATTTTCCCTATCTACCCAAAATAAAGTCAGGGGGAAAGTTAGATCTATTTTATTTGAATAATAATAACTCTGGACTGGATCAGATTGAAATCCGTCAACTGCGGGCTCGTTTTAAAGAGCGTTTCTTCTTACTCTATATTGTACCATATAAAACAATATAATAAGCTTTTGAAACGTAGACGCTAGGAGGCGTTGTCTTACAATTTAACAAACATATGCGTTTTTTCAAAAAAATTAAATGCATTAGTATATGTAATTTTAGCTGATAGTAAAGAGTAGTAAAGCTTAAAAAGTCAGCGAAAACTGCATCTTGATATCTTTTTCAGACCGAAGATATTAGCAAAATTATAATAAATACCAAAAATAAGCTTTAATTACCTTATTTTTTACTAACACGGTATCAGTAGCCCTCTTGATAATGCCCATTTCTAACCTAAAAATAAGATAGAAACAGTTAGTTTATTTTAAAATCGACGATATACCAGAATTATATATCAGATGTAGTTAATATCTAATAATTAAGATAATTAATAGTGAATAAGAAACGATGATTCAGTGAAGTCATGGTATTGGAAAGTTTGCTTGACGTAATGAGTTATAAACGTCAAATTGTTATTAAATCAACATTTTGATAGTCTTAGCAGCGTTTTTTATCTTTTGGTTGCTTTTTCAAAATGCCAACAGCTTCAACTACTTCAAATAATAAAGGCATTTTGAAAAAGCATTTAAAAAATAAAAAAACGCTGCTACGACTATGAATATGTTGATCTAATAACAATTTGACGTTTATACTATTACACGAAAAGCAACTTTTTTCCAAAGCCTACCATGACTTCACTGAATCATCGTTTCTTGTTCACTATTATTAATATCTTAATTATTAGATATTAATACATCTAGTATTATGGTATTCTGGTATTTCGTCCATTTTTAAATAAACTGTTTCTATCTTATTTTTTTTGTTAGAATGGACCTAATCAAGAGGGTTACTGATACTGTATTGTAAAAATAAGGTAATTAAGGGCTTATTTTTTGGTATTTATTATAATTTTGCTAATATCTTCAGTTTGAAAAAAGATATCAAGATGCGGTTTTTGCTGACTTTTTAAGCTTTTACTACTCTTTACTATCAGCTAAAATATTACATACTATCGTATTTAATTTTTTTGAAAAAACGCCCTATGTTTGTTAAATTGTAAGAAAGCGCCCGCTAGCGTCTACGTTCAAAACCTTATTATTATTATTTTTATGGTATAATATAGAGTAAGAAACGCTCTTTTAAACGAGCCCTCGTTTGTTGGATTCTGATCATCCAGTCCGGAGTTATTAACATTAAATAAAGATAGATCTAAGCCTTCCCCCACCACTTTATTTTAGCAGATAGGGGAAAATGGTCCTAACAAAAAACAATCCAAAATTTACTGAAGATTATGAGGCTATTATTTATAGTACCCATTATTTAGGCAAAATTCTGTAAAAAATCTATTTTCTTATTTTCCATAGCAGTTGCGCCACCTAGCGGTCGTTTTACAAACTTGAAAATAATTTCCAGCAATTTCTCATAGCCCCTTTAGTTAAATATTTTTTTCCGTAAGCCCTACGGCTAATACTTTCCGAGATACAACCGAGAGCTATTCTTAGTGGGACACCCGGTACATTTTTTTGGCATTGTACTGTATTGATCCTTTAACTAGTTCTGAGCTCGGGGTTGGCAGATAAAGATCGTGCTACGCATTCCTAGGTGGATAGTTGTGAGGTGGCCTTTCGGGAATAGCAGATATGTGCTTGCGGATTAAGCAAACGGATTCAAATATGAATAAAGAAGGAAGAGTCAGTATTTTGAAATTTTTAAAGAAATTCTGGCAGTGAGTTCTACTGTTCTGTCCCAATAAATATCCAACTGCTCTCTTTTGAAGTTTGAATATACGATCAAATTTTATCGCGCAGCAAGAACCCCAAAATGGAAGGGCATAACGAAGATGCGACTCAAAAAGGGCACAATAAACTATTCTAGAGGTTGATAAGTTAAATTCCTTCAAATCTGATCTTAGGGCAAAACAGGCAGCGCTTAGTTTCTTTGATAACGCTTCGATGTGCAAGTCTCATTTTAACGAGCTGTCTACAACAAGTCCTAAGAATTTCACAGAATCCACGACGTCATGTCAGTAGTGGTGTTATTAAGTACAAATTAGTATATTGCTTTTGGTAATAATTTCATTTCTAAGCAGATATATCGAATTCATTATTCTAAGTCGTACTTTTGAGTTTCTGTAGCCCCAATTATCGCTATAAATCTTTTTTTTCTTTTAGCCAGAAAGTCTTTCTGTCTTACATCTTAAATGGAATTGGGCAGAACAAGTGGCTAGAATAACAGATGGACGGTGGACAAAGAGACTTGTGAAATGGAGACCAAGACACGATGAGGCTCATAGAAGCAGAGATCGACCTCCTAGTCGATGGACAGATGATATGTATAAGAGAGTGGCTGGAAACTGGATTCGAGTGGCACAAAATAGAAGGAAATGGCTAGAGTTAAGGGAGGTTTTTGTTCAGCAGTGGACGGAATAACCTAAATAATGATGATGATGATGTTGTGATTTTCTGGGAGAGCGAACATCATTTTAGTTTTATCGATGTTCAGCTTAAAGCCCGAAGCCTCGTACGGCCAGGTATATCTGTTCAACATTTCTTGTAATTGTTGTAACGTTTTTGCAATTAGAGCGCAGTCATCAGCGTTTTAAAGTTCTGTGATGAATTTTGTACGTGTCTCACATTCCAGGTCGTAGAGTTCCGCTTTAAGTTGGTTTCCACATGGGAAACAGAACGGTTCAGATCCAGTTAATGTTATTGGAGTGTCATAATAGCAACAAATCCTATTTACAATAACACTTGGTGCTTTTAAAAAGTATACTTTCAGCCATATATTTTATTGCGTTACGACCTTCATAATGACGGGTTTTAAATTCGAAAAAAAGTCCTTTTATTGCCAAGCCATCGACATGATCGCACATAAAAGTATATGGATGGTACTTAGTATGCAGACGCGGTACAACAATGAATATCCTTTTGACGACCGTTTCCGTTATAGTTTAGCGCTATCGCTGTTCGGTTTGATGAAGAGATAGAACGATTTAATCGAAACACGTGGAGGCAATTTATTTGTTTAAATAGTCGATGGTTTTATTACATTTTTTGTCTATGTGCAGTAGAAAACGGGTTAGAATTATAATATTGTTGTTATTTCTATTATTATTACTTGAATAAAAGTAATTATTAATTTTTATACAGAACAATCGACAATGATTGAATCAATGTATACAGGGTGATCCGAACTGTATTCCGGAAACTTCGGCAGCATGTTCTACAGATAAAAATAAGTAAAAAAGTTCGTATAAATGTATGTCCTAAAATGCTTGGTTTCGGAGATACAGGATGTAGAAGTTTAATTTTTATTTTAATTTTTTCCAAATAATTTATGCAGTAACGTCAATATCTGGATGAAAATTGGTATCTGGGAGTTTTTTGACATGAGAAATTTGATTTTGATGTCAATATAACTCCAACTAGTAGAGGGCGCCACCTACATATTTTTTAACTGGTTTGAAGAGTAATAACTTTTCGTCCGTACCTGTATAAAACTACTGAATAAAAAATATACATTTACGACGGGTTTTTTTTACGTAAAAAATGTCCCTTAGTAAAAATTGAATCTGAAATTGACATAAATTAAACTTGTTGACTAAATAGTTATTAGACTGTAATCATAAATTTGAAATGTTTTTGTGATAAAAGTTCAACAGAAACTGTTTTATCGTCATTTTTTTGCAGAAAAATTTATGATTAATTTAAAAAAACAACAATTTCCCAAATTTATCATTTCAGTCAAATAATGTTTATTTTTCGTCAATAATGACATGTATTGGCTATTTCCATTCTAAATATCTTGAGAACGGAACGGTTGCGCGTAGCGATTTTTACAAACAGATATTTTTTGCGTAAAATGTCGCAGAAACGTATATTTTTTTCCTCTGTAGTTTTATACAGGTACGGACAAAAAGTTATTACGCTTCAAAGCAATTAAAACATATGTAGGTGGCACCCTCTACCAGTAGGAGTCATATTGACATCAAAATCAAATTTCTCATGTCAAAAAACTCCCAGACACCAATTTTCATCCAGATATTGACGTTACTTCAGAAATAATTTGGAAAAAATCGAAATAAAAATGAAACTTCTACACCCTGTATCTCTGAAACTAAACACTTTAGGACATACACTTATACGGACTTTTTTACTTATATTTATCTGCAGAATATGCTGCCGAAGTTTCCGGAATACACTTCGGACCACCCTGTCGAAGTCAATTTTAGATTCTATACAAAGTATATAAATCCGGAATGACAATACGAGTAGGTACATGTTTCAATTACTACGTAAAATACGAACCATTTCTGAACTGGTAGGGTGGAGGAGGCCTCGGTGCCGGAGGCGGATCCTCGAACTGCTGCAACCACTCGTAGAGCTGCTCCAAATCCTTCAAGCTTTGCTGGCGTTCAGCTTCGTCACGAGCCGCAGCTTCTTCCAAGCTTTCCATCACTGAACGTCTTCTTCGTCGATCATCGTTAAAATTCGTACCACCGACGTCACTTGTTACGTCACAAATGTCACTTTTTTCGACTTAAAGAACTGTATTTTTATTTTGTTTTTTTTTTGCTTAATTTGACTAGTGTGGGATGTTCTTGGTTTTTTTTTCTTAAATATTTACTAAGGAGGTATTTGTGGGGAGAGGTGGTCTTAATTGGTCCTAAGAGAACGGAAACACCATTAAGTACTTTGTAAAGACAGTATTACTGATCAGTTGCATGAGTAACGACAGTAGATATACAATCAAGTTAATGAAACAATTCAAGTTTTTTAATTGAGTTCCTATTATTGTTTCAAATAAATATAAATAGTAAAATAAATTGAATGATTTTTAAACGTGAGTCATTTCAAGTTTCTATATCTTATCTGTAATCAGGACAATTAGGACTTGAAGTAAAATGCTCCATTACACTATAAAAGTTGTTTGTCTAAGATATTTTATAGAATATATTTGATCCAAAGAAGAAAACATTCAAAAAACATGCAAAATAATACTAAAAATGGAAGTTAGAAGGAAACTGCAGGTCGCACAACGCTCAATGGAACCAAAGAGAGACCGTAAAAGAATAGAGTGGATGCGACAAAAGACCCAGGTAATAAATGTCATCAACACAATCAAATCCCTCAAGTGGCAATGCGCAGGACACCTGGCAAGAAGGACGGACAACAGATGGACCGCAAAAATTACTGCATGGTACCCACAAGGAATCAAGAGACCTAAGATTAAACTTGAGATGGGACCATGATATTAAGAAATTGGCAAAGATAACTTGGCCCCTCATAGCCAACAAGAGACAACACAATGGGTCCAACTACAAAGAAAAAATATGTGAGGGAGGCTACACCATAATTGGAGAACCAAACTTTCCTCGAAATGGACGGAGCAAAGACTTAAAAGTACCAGAGATCTAAAATAGAATGGCTCTGGTTCTTCGAAAACATAGATTTAAAATATCGTTAGAAAAATATCGATACAATGATAGAACATCGATGACAAACATCAATGTTTTCCTATTGAAATATCGATGTTTTAGGAAAATCGATGTATCGTTTGCATCCCTAACAGTAACAATCTTTAGTCAATTGTAATACTTGTAATACTGTTTACTAAATTAATACTCGTACAACTGATCATAATGTAATAAAAAATCAAAACTATGAGTTTCTGGTGGTGTTTTTAAGAAGAAAATCAAATAAGTATGCTCTTATTTATATTTTTCTAATAACTTAGAAAACTCGTGATATTTTGTGTTCTGCTTCTTTCGCCTAAATGGACACAAAATTTACCATTTCAATTTTCATATGCCTTGTGCAAAATTGTATGATTTTTAAGATTAGTAATTTAGTCAAATAAATACTCATCACAAAGGTACCATACGATCGAAAAAAAAACAGCGTCAAAGACGGCTAGGATATTACAATCGATGATAATTTCGACGAGGTCAAGCTCTGGACGTCATTTATTTGGCTCGTACTCTTCTTTATTTTTTAATGGCGCTTACTGCCAGTAGCTGGCATTAAAAAGGTTGTAATTTATTTTTATACTGAGTAAAAATGATTTTTAAATGGTGATGAAATAGTATATTAAACAACGAGTTTCGAAAACGACGTCTTGCACACGAATTCGACAGTTGTTGGCTCGAGCCGCAGGCAAGAGCCACAAGTCGAACGAATGTACAAAGAAGTTTTGGAACGAGTTTTTTACGCTATTTTTTCTACGACTACAAATTAGCAGCAGACTCAACATATGATACGTATATATACGTTTCAGCTAAACATTGGAGGTTAAAAATGTTAAAATTGGCACATGTCATGTGCAAAATGACACATTTCGTGCGCTAAATCACAGAATATCTAGCTACGCAACAGAAGCCTCGTTACATGTAAAAAATCGTAGACCTCAAAAGGAGACAGGCTTTTAAAGCCTGTCTCCAAATCAGATATTTTGATGCGGTAGTTTCACTACTACATAACAGAGGGCGATAAATTTAAAAGAAAACAGTTTTCTACAAACGAAATTTAAAAGAATTTTATGCACTGTTGCCATTGTGTAATTTATATTGTAATACTTCCTGATAAAGCCTACCTTCAAATTTGCTACATCATTTAAACATATTAAAATAGATTAGAGCTCTTTTTTCAAACATTTAAGTATTTAACTTGCCATGTTAGTTGGAGTTAAATCTTACGAGCTGAATTAAAACCACTTCCTGACGTTTGATTCTAACTGAATACTAAATTTTGATTGTAATTCGGCGACAATATAATAAGTATTGTTCTACTATTATGACACCACTTCCTGACGTTCGATTGTGTTCATACCGTATGATCGGGAAAAAACGGCGTTAGCGATTGCTATGAAATGAAAATCGCTGTCATTTTATGTGTAAATTTATATGGGAAATGTCATCGATCGTCTTTTCCCAGCCAACTGGACGCCGTTTTTTTTCGGTAGCATACGGTATTTGATATATACTTGCGTATTTTTCATGACATTGCAATATTATGGTACCATGAAGCATATCAAGTGATACCGTAATATAGTACCATATTACGATACATAGCGTTCGATTGGGCTTAAACTTGGTATATTTATATTACGAATCTTCAGTGACATTGTAATATTATGGTACCATGAAGCATATCAAGAGGTACCATAATAATACCATATACGATACCATTTCCTGGCGTGCGATTGGACTTATACTTGGTATAGTATAAGTATCTTCGGTGACATTTTAATATGATGGTACTATGATGCATATAAGTGGTACCTTAATATAGTACCATATTACGATACCACTTCCTGACGTTCGATTGGGCTCATAGTTGACTATACTTGCGTATTTTTGATGACATTACAATATTATGGTACCATGAAGCATATCAAGGGGTACCATAATGTAGTACCATATTACGATACCATTTCCTGGCTTTCGATTGAGCTCATATTTGATTATACTTGCGTATTTTTGATGACATTGCAATATTATGGTACCATGAAGCATATCAAGGAGTACCATAATGTAGTACCATATTACGATACCATTTCCTGGCGTTCGATTGGGCCCAAATTTGATATACTTGTGTTTCTTTATAAAGATTTGTTTAATTAATAATTTTAATTTATTTTACGAATTTTAATTTATTGTACGATGTCGTGACAGCAACTTTTATGCCGAACTAATATATTATTAATTGTACCTGCGTCACTTTTTAAAATCTACCTAGGTATATATAAATAACATGGCAAACAGAAAAAAAATTGTTATTATAGTAACATTTTTTGTACTGCATTTTAATAAATCATTTCCATTATTATTAAACGTATATTTCATTACTAACGTTTCAGCATTAATAAATATCACTATCAATCGCCCTGTATATTATTAATTTTAAAGGTAATTAAAGTTATTTTTTTAGTTAACATAATAAAGTAGTGTATATTAAAAATGTATTTTGAGAGCATATGTTTTCTAATTTATTTTTTTATTTTTATTAATTTATTATAATTTTAAAAGCCAAACGAATAATTAATATAAGTGTATCTGACAAGAAACGAAGAATAGAAAGAAATTATTATACACCAGAAAAAGAATGGGATGCCAATTAAAGTCTGTTTGAATCTGGCAACTGTGCATATTTTGCCAAGCTTCAAGGCCGTCGACGGCCGTCGATCTACGTCGATCCAAAACCGAAAGTTGAAAATTTCCAATTATATTCTGATTATGACATTGTCGCGCCATCTAGTATTTTATTTGTGCAATTTTAGCTCTTCCATTTCGAGTATTTTTCTGTTGCGTAGCTAGATATTCTGTGGCTAAATCCTTAGCACACAACAGTTTGCAAAACGCCAATTTCAGATCGAGTATTCCGTGTGTCAAACTGCATTTTATAGGCTAGTCGTAGAAAAAAATTATTTTTTGGAAATAGATTTGTGTGTCTGGTAACGTTCTATCCTTTTCTAATATTTCTATTATCATCATCATTCTCAGCTTATTCAACCATTTCCAATTATGGTGCAGCCTTCCTCACATATTTAGATACTCTCTTTGTATTTGTGCTTATTGGGTGTCTATTGTTGGCTATGCGGGCCCAAGTTATCCCTGCTCATTTCCTAATATCGTTATCTCATCTCAGGTTTGGCCTTCTTCTAGGTCTCTTTAATTCCTCGTGAGTACCATGCTGTGACATGCTGTGATTGGCTCCTTGATATCAAACAAAGGAGGATGTGACGCAGAAATTAAGAGAAGACTGTGTATAGCACGTAATTCCATGACTAAACTCAATAAAATATGGAAAGATTCAGCCATTTCAATTAGCAACAAACTCAGACTACTAAGAGCACTAATTTTCCCCATTGCCACTTATGCCTCAGAGACCTGGACATTGAAGTTGGCAATGAAACGTAAAATCGATGCTTTTGAAATGTGGTGTTATAGACGCGGATGCTGCGAATACCGTACACAGCTCACCGTACAAACATTTCAATACTCGAACTACTGAATATCGAATCTAGACTGTCGATATCAATAAATCAATCATACTTAAGATACTTTGGCCACATATCCAGGAACACTAATGGCCTAAAAAAACTAATTGTGGAGGGAAAAGTGAACGGGAAACGTCCTAGAGGAAGATCTCCAAACCGTTGGGTGGACCAAATGAAGACGATAATAGGTCATAGTCTGCACCAGGCCAGTACTGCTGCGCTAGACAGAACATTATGGATAGACAATATACATATCAAATATATACGGATTATCGCCTATCCCTGCAATGTGTTGGAGTTGAAGCCGAGTTAGAGACAACTAGATAATCGGTCCATGCATATATTTCACATAAGTTCGTCTGGCGCAACTCCAAAATTCCGAATATCGATTAGCCAGGATTAGCCAATTGTCGAACGGGAACGCAAACGAAAGCCGTACGAAATTGGACGGAACCGTACGAATGAACAGCTGGTGCTAGCGTCTAGTCTCTTATTGGTCTGGATATCCGATGGATAATTCGAAATCCAGGCTTGCGCACTACGCTTGAGCACAGCTAAGTGAGCGACTTATGCAAATTCCTTCAGAAGATTTATATACCCATTTCGCCGGCTTGGCTTCACAGAATGCAGTTTGGAGTCGATATTCTTTATAGTATCTATATAGGGGA